GATCTTACCCAAGCATTTTTCTCGAGCCTTGCAGTTCGTTGCAAGAGTTTCTCCTATGGGGCATTTAAGCCCCACCCTATATTGTTGGCATAGGACAAGTAAGCCCACAATATTTACCGCATCGCTTTTAGTTCTCTTAATAGCTCCCATAGCCTGCTGCCACTTCCTTACGTTTCCGCAATTTTGCATTATACCAGTTTTCTCTTCTTAGATAGGTTAATCGATCTGCCTGCGAGCTTACATGCACTGTCCAGGGTTCGTTGTAGATCAGCAGTGCTCTTGGGGATGCCGTTTTCTTTAATTGCTCTGCTAAAAGCATCTTAAAGTGCTTCTGAGTGCTGAAGTTTGTATGTTTTCTGCCCTGCCTGATGGCGCGTTGACTCCCTTCCTCAGCTCATTACGTACAAGTTGTTTGAAGCCGTCCAGGTCGATACTACTTCTCTTTTTTAGTTCGCCCTGACAAATCTCCATACCTCCAATGCGGTATTAGTCTTCTGCAAGAAGGAATTTGTTTGGCTGCAGTGCGTTGCGGATTGAAGCCATCAAGCCCTTTAGCTAAAATTAATAGCTTTCCAGCGTGCAGTTGGCCGTAATACTACAAGAGTATACTCTCCTATTCCTTTTAGTTTTATCCATGTAAATCTCTACACGCTCTTGTGCGTGTTTGCAACCACGTCTGATCTGTCGTTTACTAGTATTATATGAGGTCTGCTTGTGCGCAAAGTTCTTCTTCTATTTGATATTTGATCCACCGTGCGATGGACATGTCGACTGCGGTTGCCATCGACATGACTTTAATCAAAACTATTGGCGCTGCCTAATGCTTCGGTGGTTCGAATCTCCATGAAATGGTCTGCGCCTAACCTTGTCGAACCTTCTGCATCCGTTTTATATTTGCCGCTTGACGATATTGTGAGCCGCCTCCTCCTCTTTTTCTGCTTGTGCCTGGACTTGAGCGATTCTTCGGTCTCGCCTGCTTCCGCTCTAAGATCATACTCAATGCGAGGCAAGCCATCGGGTTCGCAGTTTCCTTGCACTCATAATAAAGTCAGACATTGTTTAACCGCATCTCTGCTGTGTCTAAGTGTTCGCCACCCAGAAAACCAGCGTCGTTCATTATCTTCACTTTTGCACTTTTTGGAAAAGTAGTCCGGCTTCTGGCAGTTAAAGCATGTGGGCAGTGGAACCCATACCTCAATCTTACAATTCTGGTTTTCGGGTACTATTCACTTACGTGAGAGCAGCCTAGTTACAGGAAACCGACAGAAGTAGCCAGACGTTGCCCCTCATGTTTTTTCTTATGTAGAAGCCTTCCGTGTGTATCCTGACGTCCTCAGGTAAGACGAGTTTTTCGTCTTTTTCGATTTGGCTGGCAACTGAGAAAAGATTCACGTTAGTGGAGAAAACTCTCGAAACTTGTAGAACATCAACCACTGTACCTGCCCTCAACCGCCTAATGTCTATAGAGGGTTTGCCTTTACCCGCCGTAGTTTCAACTGCTTTTATGATAGGATTTTCTTGCCGGGTCCTTTTTAACGTCTCGATTTCAATTCCACTTCCAGGAGCATCACGTGCGCTCTGATCTTGCAAAAAGTATTTCCAAAAGACGAACCTTTCTTGGCCATAATATAAAATTTTTTTCCGGTCTTGCCTGTAACCGTATTTTTATCTATTTGGATGTACGAGGCTTCAGGCCTTTCTTTGTTATAAACTCTGTTTTGCATTCGCTTTTTCTGCAGCAAACCTCGACAGCTCGTCTAATTAAGTCTTCGTTTCCGAGAGACCCGCTCGTTTCAATTACCGTGCCAATGGTCCAAATAAAACCAAAAAGACGCGTGAGCCGAATACTCCAGCGGTCAGGGTCCTAGTACACGTTCGTGTTTTTGTATTTTCTGGAAGCAACTGGAACATTTCTCTTTGTTCTCCTGCTGGAGGGATGGGAACTGTTTTCTGGGTGCTTCAACCTGCTTTGTAAATATGTCATTTCGGAGATCAAGTTCCAGTATGTTCTTTTATTGATTCTTGCTCCATAAGATATGCCGTTTTACTTGTAGTCTTCAAAAAGCCCCCAAAGGTCTGTTTTGGGTCTTTTTGTCATCGCGTTCATGACACTTGAGCCTTATATGACACTATGTTGCTGTTGGAAGTCGCTAAAAGATTTCATTAAGTCCTCAATTTTCTAGAAAGCCTCGTTATAGTCAACCGGTGAATCAGCGGCTACATATGCCAGGATGTCTACTTTGTTCCTTTTTATCGACTTTCCCTTTGCCAGTATTTTTAATGGGGCACATAATGGGGCAGACTCGATGCTTGGGGTGAGTCTGTGACAGACTCTTCCGTACTTTCTTTCGCTCGACGTTCGCGTCGATATACCCTTTAGTCCCATTTTTCATGACCGTCAAATCATTGTCCGGCTCTGAAGTGATTGCATCGTTCATGCTCATCTACAGCTGCCCGAGTTTCCTCTACAAAAGGCGCCTTACCCCGCTTTTCCCATCTGACATTTGATGTTACCCTTGAATCACGCCATCTCCTTTCTAGCACACAGTATTGTATATCTTTCCTTACTCCCCTAAGGGGTCCTTCATTTCCAACTTGTAACAACGATAGGTTCCATCAGTCAGTCAAGGGAATGCAGCGCCCCGAGCATACTGTTTGAATCTGGAATTCCTGCTTCTTAACAATCTCAAGATTGTGTCGGCCTCTCCCTTCTTCCTCACTGCACAGACTGTTTAAGTCTCTACCAAAAACGTCCTATACGAAGTACAAGAACGACGAATAGATAAACGCGCGCAAATTTGAGCACCACTGAGGGCCTTCTATTTTATGTAGAGAGTTCGCCGAGCTGTCAGGTTGTTCCGGGGGAAATGGACGAAAGCTTGCACAGAAACTTCCTCTCGGTCAGCTGCGGCAGCATCTATTGGCGTTGTCTCTGCAAATGCGTCGCATCAGCTGACGTTTAGATGTTAAGGAGATGGGCCGGTCCGCTGCAGTGCCGTCGCCACGCGATGTCTCTTGGCAAGAAAACGTAGAACTACGCACAGTCATTTGCACCCTTGCCGTCAGTCCACACAAACGTGAAAAATGTCTGTTCCGCCAACAGATAAGCAGCGGATTACGCACAATTCACCAATAACTCTTTAAAGTTGCCTAACAGCCCGACACCGCAAAGGTAGACAAGCCCGTTCACCTCGGTGGTTAAGACCCAACTGCCTTCAAGTCCGTATAACTATCATAATATTCATCATTCTGGTATAGATAATTATCCACGGTAATCCTGATTCATGACCGCGATTACCCGCAATGTGGCGCATTTGTCAGCATTATTGTTTTGGGCTTCGTCAAAAAAGTAATTAAAATTTCTTTCAAAAGTAACGGCATGTGACACACTGTTAGCAACAACGCCGTGTGGTAAAACTAGTGTCAATTTACGAAGATTTAGTTTCACTTATCATATTCATATCATCACATTTATGCACTTCTACTCTGAGTTATATACTGAATCCACCTAGAGATTTCAACTTCTTCGTAAAATTATCATCGACGGCAGGTGATGTTATATGTGCTCGAAATGCAGTGACCCATATAGCCCCACTTAATTCTGGCCGATATAGTCCCCCGAATGATCATTGTCATGAGACCTAACCTGTTTAAGCTTACCATTGGAAGATTATACTTTTAAGACAGACTCTTAGCAATTAGCAAAAATTGAATGTGGAAATGTTTCTAGGTGTTTCACATAGCTCTACCTAGTGAAGTTTAGACAACGAAAAAAATTCAGCTACGGGAATTGTACTAAGCTCCACGACTGCGTGAGCATCACCTTTCAATGTTTGTTTCCTAGTACGATACTCACACATATAGTTGAGATGATGAATAAATATATCAAGAGCAGAATCGAGTAAATTTACACTTCGGTAACAACTAGAGACTAGGCTGCATTTTTTATTAGAAAACTTCACAAAATCTACACCATAATCAGTTGCTGTCTAGCACTTCAGTGCTTTATTCATCGCATCGCATTGCGATTACATTGTATTTTGTATGTAAAATGGCAAAGAATACAAAGGTAGAGAAGATGAAAAACATACGAACTGTTTAATCATATGCAAATAATACGACGACTTAGAATAGCCATTAAACTAAAACGTCTGAATTTAATACTCTCGTGTATTTGGCATAATAATATATACATTTTTTTCTTAGTAACGTCATGTGCTCATATCAATAGAAGTGAACGCTGTCATTTTGACGTAGAATTTTTCATTTAAAAAATAATGTGTTTATGCTAAACTACTTATGTCTTATCCCCGTGTTGAGAAATATTCTGCAATAACCTTTTGTTAAACAGAGGATTAAAATCCGCCATTAAAGGCACCGTAGCTGAGTTTTTATGAATTGAATAATTCATCCACTGACGTTCATAGGTGTCAACTGCTACATAAGCCAAATGGGAAAGCATTGGTAAATTACCGGCAGTAACCATAGTGCTTGAGTGAATATTAACAAAATGACGGTTTGGTACAGATAAAATCACCAGTTATAAAATAAACCAAGACTGCTTTAGATGCTAAATAATTCTGAAAAAAAAAAGTGAATTCTGTTAAGGGTGTACAAGAAATTCTGAAAAAGAAGCGTTGAATCAAATGCCTCATTATTGGAGCGTGGAGTGACACATTAAAAGTGGGCTGTCAAAGCTATCTGAAGATCCCAATAATATACTAAAAAATAACCTTATCTATATTTATTAGTGTAGCACACCATGTGTAGTGAAATGATGATATTTTCATCACAACAATTCATTATGAATGAATAGAGGCAACGCATTTGGCGACAAACCTAATAGGGACTGTTTTGAAGTACTCCTGTTGTACTTCAGTTTGCTTACCCTTCCAGTGAAATGAAAATCTGTCCCGGCTTCCCGGGGAATTTCAGGCATATTCTAACGCCGAAGACATGCAACTAACCTTCCTCAAATTGGTTAAAGCTTGTAATTAAACACAGCATAGTACGAGACAAACAACGAAGGGCGGCCTCTAAATCGTCTTTTGTAAAGCCTTGCTTTGAACTAATAATTTCGGTAGGTCTTCACAGTTAATAACGGGAAATCTTAACTTATTCAGAGGTTCCGCTATAGTAGATCTAATTTAAGACTAGAACGACAGAGTTTGTGTTTTTTAATAGACAGAGTTGTATCTGTGTAATTGTTTACTTGCCACTCGTAGACTTTAAGCGCGTTATATTTAAATAATTTCTTTACTAAAACTGAAAGCTTGCAGTATAAATATTTTTTCTATTAGGTGTCGCAGCAGCAGAACCTCCAGAGATTGTGGTTTTGTATGTTAGGTACATTTGCAATTCTATTTAACACAAGTGTCATAAGTGCTGTTTGAAATAGTCATCGCATTAGACGCCAAAAAAATGTAATTTTTTAGTGTTGATTTGATTTTTAAATATTTGACTAACAATATTTCTTGCTTACGCACTGCAGTTTTGTCAGTTATGTTGCGCTGAATCAATAATCGGAAGTGCTAGTAGATATGATTATGGGGAGTATCTTCGAATTCAGAATGAATTCAAATTGATTTGAAGTTGCCGCGCTCTTTATTGACGGTCGGACTATATCAATTTGCCAGCGTTGGCGTCTACGCAAGTGATGTTTGTACACAAAACCCTAGTCGGTATGCTTCGGCTATTGGCTACATCGCCGGTGTCTCCGCCTGATCGAATTTAACGATAAGCGGTCAATTCAATTTACAATGCTCTGAAGACGGCAAGGAGTAACCGCGCTGTGTGTGAATGGGTTTCGCAAAACGCGAAATAAAGGAAAGCTTCAAAAAATTAAAATGTTGTTAACGGTGTTGCCGGTAAAAGCTAGGTAGCCTAGTAAGGAAAAGCCATCTGTTACGATGCCTGTGGACATCGCACAGCTGGCCGAGGGATGGCGGGAGTTAGAAAGCGATCCAGGTGAGTAACTACGGCTTCTGTGTTGGCTTAGGTGTCATTTTTATACTAGATTTCTGAGAATCTGTTAGGTTTCCGTAGAGTTCGTCATTCAAAGTTGCGCACTGAAGCGATAGTGAATATTGTCATGGTTTGCTTAGTCTGACGTACGCATAGAAATATCTCTCAGGAAATAATCATACATCCGTATCCTGTATAGTAATAATGATACAATCTATAATAATTATCTTAAACATATAACCCACACGATTCATATAAAAAAAAAAGTGATCTCTCGAATTTACTCTAATTAGCTACATGATAACCTGTGCTGCAACTTTTCTACATCAGTAATTTGCACTGCTGCTAACATTTTCTTGTTAATAGTTAGCATTTTTTCTGTCAAAAAATGAAAACCTAAGTTTTAGGAAATTTCGGGCTTAACCTATTTTAATGTGCCACAGTTTTCTCTCAAGAAGCCGCAAACTGCCGTAATCTACCGCATTAGCAAAGCTTGATGATAAAACAAGAGCTAGTTGCTTTGTTTGCATATGTGCAAGAAAGAATAACTGTCTTTACTTGCACATGTTTTTTAATATAAACTTCGGACAACTCACATTCAAAAAAGCCGTGTTCGATTTTCTAATTTCTACTATTGCAGGAGTATTTACGCTTCTTCTAGAAGACTTTGGAGCGACTGGCATCCAGGTAGAAGAGATCTACGATTTGGAACGGCCTATCGATTCCCCAACAGTTTACGGTTTTATTTTCCTCTTCAAATGGATTGAAGAGCGAAGAGCCCGGCGCAAAATTGACGCTGACTCCGAAGCAAAACTTGTTACAAATGAAAATATCGTCAACTCGATGTTTTTCGCACAACAGATTGTACCAAACTCTTGTGCCACCCATTCGCTTCTTAGCATCCTACTCAATTGCCCGCCAGATATCGAGCTTGGACCAGCGCTTACTCGTCTCAAAATGTCCACGCTGGGCATGACGCCAGAGAACAAAGGTTATGCGATTGGAAATACTGCGGAATTGGCGCTAGCCCATAACTCGCACGCAAAGCCTGTGCATGGGTCCACTTCTGGATCCGGTTCTAGTAGCCAGGGCAGTGGAGCCACAATTGGAAGCCGAGCTACAGTGGAAGCCTTTCATTTCGTATCGTACGTGCCGGTTAATGGACGCCTATACGAGCTGGATGGCTTAAAAGGTTATCCGATTGATCACGGACCCGTCGAGGAGGACTGGACCAAACGCTTCTTCCAAGTAATCAGTGAACGCATCGGGGCATGCAAGGCAGAAATCCGCTTTAACCTTATGGCACTTATCCCCGACCGACGGAAAGCCCTTTCTAATCGATTGGAGAAACTACGCAATGACAGACGCAACGTGGTTGATGTTATTAGCAGTGTGGCTAATTACAAACTAAAGTCGCAAGCATCACATATTGATACAATGCATAACTACGCCAAGGATGCCGATCTTGAGCTGCTAGCCGAATATATTACTGAGGGTCACCCAAAGCAGCCGAAGTACGAGCTGTGTTCAGGAAGTGAGTACTCGGATGAGGAAGAGACAAGAAGAGACGGTGAATGCCTAGAGTCTCAAGAGAATGTCCTACTTTCACCCAGGTCACTGCGCTGTGAACGACGAAGCGCTTCTAAGGCCCTTTCTAAACCAAATAGAAAGCAAAGGCGATCAGATCTCGAAGGAGGTGACCTAACCGAGCGAATTGGGAAGTTGCTTCAACTTAATGCAGATGCTTATGAGGACGTGTCAGCAAAGGATCTACTCGCACTACTTAAAGATGTTGATAATGAGATTAGCTCCGTCGAGTCGCTTATTGCAGACGAGAAATACAGGAGGGATAAGTATGTCGTTGATGATTGTCGGCGGACCCATAATTACGATCCATTTATTTGTACATTTGTATCAATGCTAGCTGATCAAGGCCATTTAGCCATGCTATTAGAAGAACAATTTAAACGAAAGGGCGTATTCCTTAAAGGTATGGTACGGGACGATTCAGCAACGGGTGCAAACAGCAACAAAAAGAAGAAGGTTTCTCAACCAAATAAAAACAACAAAAAAAAAACACAGCCAAAAAAATAGGCTATTCCAAGTCGAAAAACAAACTGCGTTTTCTAAAGCTTGTGACTTTCAACGAACTTAAATATGCAAATACAGAACATTCTAGGTTAACTAAGCAAACAAGGCGCCTGTTTGTTTTCTATACCCATTGTATAGTATATTCGCTGTGTAGATATAAGTAGAGTCTGAATGATTTACAATGGTGCTGTTGATTACGCCATTCCCAAACGTGAGGCAGAATCACCGCAATCATTTGATTCTTGGATCTGTATATATGCTATGTGTATAAATAAACGTATTCGTTTTATGAAATATTTGTCTATTCATTAGGTAATATTACTGTGCTTTGATCTTATACACAAAAATTGTCTTCATAGTTAAGCATAGTTTCTCAATTAAGTCCAAGCAAACTAACGCTACTAAAAAATAACTCCGTGCAGCAACGATGACAGATATTGGGTCTCTCAAGAAAATGCATCTTTCATTGTTGAAAAGCTTTTTAAGCTGAATCAACTAGCATAAGTCATGCATATATACCGAAGAACTTCCCTTTAATAACATTAAATTGTGTTTAGGAAGTATACAACTACTCATAAAGGTCACGAATTTCAAAACAAAAGAAACGCGAAATTCATATTGCATAGACGACATTAACCTTTAATTGTTATCTTGTCTTTGAGGTTCATAAGTATGTTTATAGTTGATCCACTCTATAATGGAGGATAAATAATCATGGTGCAGGAAGTGTTGCTTAGCACGAAGTCAATGAGGAGTCATTTGATCCGAAATTTCATGCTAACCTGGGCAGCAGCCTACTATGATTCTTGGAGTTTCGTAACTTCCTACGATACAACTGTTAGATATGAATAAAAACAACATATATTTCTACAAAGCATCCTTAACGGACTTTCTGCCAATAGTGAAAAATTTGCCGCGATCTTACAGTCCATTTCACAATGTGGTTACACGCATATAATAAATAGACTTAGATAAGAAATGATTATTTGATGGCGATATAATGATATGTAGTAGCGTAGCTGGGACATTGTTTATTTCTAAGAAGAAATATTAATAGTGTTAGACTAATCCACCACTAATGCAACACAAATTTGTCTTTTTTGTTTATTTTTGAATACTCTATGAAAAAGGAATATTTTAAGCGAACAATTTTAAAATTCATTGATTCGCAGACTAAAAGTTCAACTTATGTTTTATAAAATTCCACTAGCTAAGTAAATATTAATATGCCTTTTTGTTCGGAGCACAAGTTCGTGTAGTTAATCTCTCCCAGTACTTCGAGTTTTACGTCCGGCATTACCCATTAACGCTGGTAGGAAACATAACTAAACATATCTAGTAAATTTACTCAATTTAGACTGCACAAGAGGAATATCCTTTGCCATGAAATCTATTAATCGGCTGCGTGAGGTTAGGAACTTCCACTCAAAGCTTTTTTGCAAAATAGGTGATCAACGATTGGTCTCTAACTATTTGTGACAAGTAATCATGTTACCGCCAGTTATCATAGCATTCATATTATAATTTGTCATATTTCTATTAACCGATAGTCTTATTCTTCGCTCGAAATCGACAAATCCTTGATCAATTCTTTTGCTTCATGCGCTTCTGAATTTTGCTTCAACAATTATTTGATTGAACTAAATGCTAAGCTTAAGTTAAGCGTCTCAAGATTTCATCATACAGAAGCTTTATTGGATTCAATTGATCACCACATAAACAGAACAATAGGAAACCTGTTTATCTTTATATCTAAAATATCTTCGTTATTTTATTTAATTTCTCATTTGTGTTGAGTTCTCTCAATATTTATCGAAGTTCGTTTTAGAAGCCGGACTCTGGATCTAATAATGAAGTTGAATAAAAAATTGCCATTGGATTATGCCAAATAAGCTACTTAAATATAGATTAGCAGAAAGTAGTAGTGATAGTATGATGCGGATGACATCGCTTACACAACAGCACATTACAAAATATGTTTGTTTCGACTATTCGACGTTTTGCGAATATATATATACATCTATTCGAATTGTCAATGCTGATCGAGAGTAGTAGAACAGGACCGACCGTGTGTAAGATAGGGAAATTAAATAGGCAGACATATGAATAGGACGGTAAGAAAGTTCATCGATTTTTAGGTATAAGAGTAGATACACTACCATCATTCGCTACGGAATGTCATCGAAATGAATGTCTATAGAAAACTCTGTGGAGACGAAGATAAAAGCAGTTAATGCCCATAATTTTTTACAACCAAAATAGGCTACTCTAATACTATCTTGGATCATGCTTAGCATAGCGTGACGTATTTGGTGTTAAGTAATATCTATGTGGTTCCATTTCAAACCTTTTAATACTAAACAACTAAATGGCTACAAGTACCAGATAAACTGGAAATTCATTTTACTATCTACATTGTCGGTTTCTTTTCTACTCCATATTCCACAAAAACGTGCTAGAAAATGAATTTGTATCAGGAAGTAGGTGCCGAAGCTTTTCCATCAACGATTATACATACCTAATACTTCACTGCCTTCATGCTGGATATTTCGTGAAACCCTAAGGGTTAGAACAATAGTTTTACAATAATTTAAATTTCAAATAGTAATACAGAGATTAACAGATAAGCATAATATTGTTAGATATTTATTATAATTATCGTGTCCACGTTTTTCTACGAGCCAATTTTCTTCATTCACACGAGTTACGTAGAATGTCGCTGGCGGAACTAAAAGCAGTGATACTTGGTCCCTTAAAATTAAAATCTTTGAAGTTACAAGACATAGTTTGCTCATTAAATTGGAACTCAAAATTGAAGTCATTTTATTATTAAAAGTTTCATCGGATTGTTGCTTAACCACCAGTGTGACACCAGTTCAGTGTAACTGCAGTATATTACCGCATGTTTTTCACCTCTAAAGTCTACAGTTCTCGACAATTTATCCCTTAATTCTTGATGCATTGTTTTGTCTCGTTACATATTGACACGGGCGTGAATAATTCTGGAAAGTCTACATTGTTACATTATTCCCGTTTTTTTTTTGCTTTACATTCAGCCAATACCCCCGTTTATCTGTTATCGAACTAATTGTCTGTCCATTTATAGCAGTTGATAGCAAAAAGTTACCTTGGATAATTCCATTCCTATACCATGAGCTATACATTTAACCAAATGTACTATAAAAGTAGCCTTTTAATTCACTAAGATTACACATTACAAGAAGCATTTCTCTTATATGGTTGATATGAAATTCAACACAGTAACCCTAATTTTAATAACATAGGCACATCTTTGATATTCCCGAGTCTCACCGGTAGCCTTACTGAAACACCGGCACTACTACGTCGAACACGCTGCTATGTTTACTTCATCGTACGTCGACCTTTCTTCGAAATACTCCGCCACCGCAGTTATTATAAATTAGATCGTTTCATAATTCGATTCCATTTCTATGGCTAGTTAAAGGCCCATGGAATAGTGTTTATCACAGCGTTCATAAAACTAGTTTTACGATAAACCCGTTCACGTACAGGTACCTTATTTCATGTACCTTCTGGAAATCATTCCGCGTTCGTCAACGGAAGCAGTGGTCTCTTCCGGTGAAATGTCGAGAAGGTTCGCGAACACTCGGCCGCATCACATAGCTTAGTCGCGCGTTGGCCCCGAGCAAGAATCTAGATCCATCTTACTAAATGAACTACAACTTAATTGAGGATAGTTACTGCACTTATTGTGTACGCCGAGCTTAGAATAACGGTAGAGAATTAATATTTTCCAAAGCATAGTCATCAGCACAGCGAAACGTGATGGAAAAAGCGCGAAAGTTCGTTGGTAACCCTCTCCACTCCTATATAAAGGCCGGCGCAGTCCGCGCAGAACGTAAGTTCCCTGAGAGGGTATACGCAGAGTGATCGCAAGTCAAGAGTGAATTTCCTGTGTAATCTGTTGAAGTGGCATACGCAACCGGAAAGGTGAGTATGAAAGATTAGTGGTCCTAGAGTAATATCGGTGCTCTGAAGTTTGTGTGCGAGAGGTACTTTATACTACATGACTTACGTTTTCGGATGTTGAAGTGTGTGATCGTGTAGTTTCGTGGAGTTTCGGGGAATACTAGGTTCTAGATTACAATTGTGTAATAACCTCGTTGTGAGGTTATCAAGTGTGTGATATTTCATAGGCCTCTTCGCAATATGTTGAGCTTCACTTCTTATTTAGTTACGCAGGATTCTAATGATCGATTGGGCTGTGATTGTCTAACTGCGGCGTTAAAAATTAGTACAATTTAGTTGCAGTGGTGGTCTTATAAAAACGAATCTAGTTACATAGAAATGCGGAATCATTATGTACTTCGTCTAATTCGTGTATATATATATATAACAATTTGTATTGTAGATGCCTGAGGAGCAGCAGAATGTGGAGACTTTCGCTTTCCAGGCGGAGATCGCCCAATTGATGTCTCTTATCATCAACACTTTTTACTCAAACAAGGAGATCTTTCTTCGAGAATTGGTTTCTAATGCATCCGATGCTCTCGATAAGATCCGTTATGAATCACTTACGGACGCCTCGAAATTGGAGGCGCAGAAGGAGCTATACATCAAGCTCATTCCTGACTCTGAGAACAAAACTCTTACCATCATCGACACCGGTATCGGAATGACTAAGGCCGATCTTATTAACAACCTTGGCACGATCGCGAAATCCGGAACCAAAGCTTTTATGGAGGCTCTCCAGGCTGGCGCCGATATCTCGATGATCGGTCAATTTGGTGTAGGTTTCTACTCAGCCTACCTCGTTGCCGATAAAGTGACGGTGACCTCGAAACACAATGATGACGAACAATATACGTGGGAGTCATCGGCAGGAGGATCTTTTACGATTCGTACGGATAACACTGAGCCTCTCGGCCGTGGAACGAAAATCGTCCTTCACTTGAAAGAAGACCAAGCCGAATACTGCGAGGAGCGCCGCATCAAGGAGGTTATCAAGAAACACTCGCAGTTTATTGGGTACCCGATCAAGCTCCTTGTCCAGAAGGAACGTCAAAAGGAAGTGTCCGATGATGAGGCCGAGGAAGACGACAAGAAGGAGCAGAAAGAAAAAAAAGATGACGATATTGAGGACGCCGGTGAAGATGAGGATGCCGACAAGGAGGCTGGTGACAAGAAAAAGAAAAAAACTATCAAAGAAAAGTATACGGAAGATGAAGAGCTAAACAAAACTAAACCAATTTGGATGCGAAATGTTGATGATATTTCTCAGGAGGAATACGGCGAGTTTTATAAATCGCTCACCAATGACTGGGAGGACCATCTAGCAGTGAAGCACTTCTCTGTCGAAGGACAGCTCGAGTTTCGTGCACTGCTGTTCGTTCCTAAACGAGCTCCCTTCGATCTCTTCGAGAACAAGAAGCAAAAGAATAACATTAAGTTGTACGTACGACGTGTTTTCATTATGGAGAATTGTGATGAGCTGATTCCCGAATATCTGAACTTCATGAGAGGTGTTGTAGACTCCGAAGACCTCCCTCTTAATATTTCACGTGAAATGCTCCAGCAGAATAAGATCCTAAAAGTTATACGTAAAAATCTGGTTAAAAAATGCCTTGAGCTCTTCGAATCTATCGCTGAGGATAAGGAGATGTACAAAAAGTTCTACGAGCAGTTTTCCAAGAACATGAAGCTGGGAATCCACGAGGACTCGCAGAACCGCAAGAAGCTTGCTGATCTTCTAAGGTACTACACTTCTGCCTCTGGTGATGAAATGTGCTCTATCAAAGATTACGTAAGTCGCATGAAGGATAACCAGAAGCATATTTACTTCATCTCCGGCGAGTCCCGTGAAGCTGTGGCGAACTCCGCGTTTGTTGAGCGTGTGAAGAAGCGCGGCTTTGAAGTGATTTACATGATCGAGCCGATTGATGAGTACTGCATCCAGCAGCTCAAGGAGTACGACGGAAAGCAGCTCGTGTCGGTTACAAAGGAAGGACTAGAACTCCCTGAGGATGAAGAGGAGAAAAAGATGTTTGAAGCAAATATCAAGAAATTCGAGGGTCTCTGTAAAATCATTAAGGACATTCTGGACAAGAAGGTAGAGAAGGTGGTAGTTTCGAACCGCTTGGTCAGTTCCCCATGCTGTATTGTTACTTCACAGTATGGGTGGTCAGCAAATATGGAGCGTATTATGAAGGCGCAAGCTCTGCGTGATTCCTCTACCATGGGCTACATGGCAGCGAAGAAGCACCTCGAAATCAACCCCGATCATCCAATCATTGAGCAGCTTCGAGTAAAGGCTGAAGCTGACCGCAACGACAAATCTGTCAAGGATCTCGTGCATCTTCTCTTCGAGACTGCGTTATTGTGCTCAGGCTTCAACCTCGATGAACCTGGACAACATGCCGGGCGCATCTACCGTATGATCAAGCTTGGACTTGGTATCGATGACGACGGTTCCGAAATTGATGATGAGACTGTTGAGGGACCGCCCGCGTTGGAGCCTACTACCGAGGACGCTCAGCGCATGGAGGAGGTAGATTAGTTATCCCGGCCTAGTTACTCCGCCCAGTTATGATGCTATACGATCGGAAAGAATTACAGTGAACTTCAGTTGTAAATTGATTCATTAGTTAAAGCTTTCGTTCCTTGTAAGTAAGCCCCCGTAAGGCATACCTGTACGAGTTGCGCCTATTAATTCAATAAACTCGTTATCCTGTACAGATAAAATCAAGTTTGTTATTACTTCAGTAATAATGGTCAGGCTGAGTGGGCAACGTAACTCCAAACCCAATCGATAACCCAATCAATACTGGAACGGACATAATAGGCGTAATCTATAATAATCTACACCTAATTTAAATCTTAGGATACTACGATGGAAATACTACGATGGAAGATGGAAATACTACGATGGAAGTATACTATGTTTAGGTATTTACTAAAAGTACTAAAATAAAAGACTTATTGTAACAAAAATAAATCTAGTTTTTACTTTTTATTTTAGTTACAAAAGACTAAAGTCGCTAGTTTTTACTTTAAAGTATGGATGGAGTATGGAAAACTCATAGTATAGTTTTTCATAGTTTATATAGTATAGTTTTTGGAAAACTCATAGTATAGTTTTTCATAGTTTATATAGTATAGTTTTTCACGATGGAAATACTACGATGGAAGTATACTATGTTTAGGTATTTACTAAAAGTACACTTATTGTAGCAAAAATAAATCTAGTTTTTACTTTAATGTATGGAGTATGGAAAACTCATAGTTTATTTCATATTTTATAGTATAGTTTTTCTTAGTTTATTTCATAGTTTACTATAGTTTTTCATAGTTTATTTCATAGTTTATATAGTATATATGAAAAACTATACTAAAACTATAAGTATAGTTTTTCATAGTTTATATAGTATAGTTTTTCATTGTTAGTTATAGTTTTTACATAGTTTATATAGTAGAGTTTTTCATAGTTTACATAGTAGAGTTTTTCATAGTTTATATCGTAGTAGAGTTTTTTTCATAGTTTACAGTAGAGGTTTTTCATAGTTTATATAGTAGAGTTTTTCATAGTTTATATCTATAGTAGTAGTTATAGTAGATAGTACGTCATACCGTTATTATGATAGTAGTACTACAAAGGCGTACAAAGATACGGAAGAAAATGCCTTTCCTAGCGTATGAAATAATGTGATAAGCTGAGAAAAGTCAACATTATATGAGACGAAAGATGTGATCAGAAGTCAACATTATAAGAATCATACCTAGCCTTTACTGTGAACATATAATTTCGTAGTCGTATATGACTATGAAGTTAGTTATTATGGAGTTACTTAACCATTATTATTAGCCTTTCGTTGTCATATACCTACAGTCTTAGGAATTCCTAGTCCATCTCGTAGTTATATACCTACTTAGCCACGATTATTGGCCTTGTGTAGTCATATACGTATTTAGCCTTTCTCAGTCTCTCCTTAAGGTGGAAGGTGCCATCGCTTTCGTGGTGAAGGCGGCCGTACAGACCGGTGTTATTGCGTTGGATACACCCCGCTTCCTATCGTTTGATTCTGTAACATCTAAATTTTTGCAACATTTTATAATTATACTATTTTCAATAGAATCGATCGGTTAAAATTTAAGAAAATTCGTTCCTTGCCGAACTTAGTAGGCTACGGACTTAGCTGGCAATCTGAATGGAAAATAAATTTAGTTATATATTATGCATTATTAATCATACTATTAATCGCAGTGCGTATTATTAATCCTATTACTATGCAGGTCGGTGACGTAACGATAAAATAAAAATACAATATTTGTTGTCATATTAGTACGACGACTAGTTCTGGAGACAACTCTTTCGAGTTTCTTTGCCACGGAGAACAATCGAAAATGCAGTTCAACTAGAATAGAGGCATCGTATTCTTCCAGAAGGTGTGTAGCAGAACAGCGTCTGTATGACGTCCTTAACAGCATGAGTGACGCACCGCTAGGCATAAACCCATGTGAATGCCACCAATGAAATACGAGCTAAGCGGCACTTTTTGTCTAAAAGCGCCGCTCGACTCACATTTTGTGGAGTCTAGAGTTATTGAACGAAGGTGTAGTGTAAATACCGTTAGGATGAGGTAGATTGTCTACTTTTTGTATACGTTTGTAAAATAAAGAAAATTTCGTTGATATATCCCAATATTGACAATGCAACAGATTGAAAGGGGTAATGTTTTGAATGACTCGACCGGAACGTGTCCGAAGCTAAGGTGTGATCAGGTTCCGTGCGTCTGAAGTTTTAAAGATGATGGCAACAGTAACAACAAGAAGAAGCACAATCGTGGCGAAACAGGGGTTGAAGACAAGTAGAAGAGAAGACAAACAAGGGATACGGTGTGACACGCTGAGGTACGTGGGAACACTTATCAACGTGTACACGTCATTCTTCAGCACCAGACTAACTTATAACGCTGTGTATAGTCGGCACAACGATATACGCGTCTAGTCGACGGCATACGCAGAGAGAGTGAAAAATGAAAAAGAAGGTGAACAATCTTTATGCAAATGTCTGTATGCTGTGTAGTTCTAACGATTTTGTATTATGATTCCGTGTAGTGACTATTCAAAGATGTTACCGCAGTAGAGGCTACCTACACACTCAAGTTGCAAGCTACCTGAGAATATTACCGAATCAACATCATCTAAATTTAGAAAAATATCTATACCTTCATAACTTCCAATACCAAACCAGAGTTTCAAAAAGAAAACAGTTGCATAAAAAAGCTCCTAAGAGGCACAGATATTAGCAAAGCTTACGGCAAGTGGACATTAAAAAAAAGCGCTTACAATTACAAGAATTTTACAAGTGGTCTAATAAGGCTCTTAACGCTTATTTGACAATACTAAATAATAAGTAAAATCTTATTTTTCGACTGCAATATTTTTTGACCTAGAGGTAGAATAACGAATTCAGGTAGGTCTAGCAAATACTGGTTTAATTATAATGCATATGGGTAACTGCAGACCACTTGGTTGACAAATACCGTAGCTAGGTGTCATTTTCGAAGGTGAGCGGAACGAGTATTCTAGCTATCCGATAATAATAATATTGATAATGCTAATATGTTATCCACATCAAATACCGGACAGTCATTGTACAACCTAAAAACGTTTTGCTTTTTACACGTGCACAGAGTAGGCGCTAAAGTCTCTTTTTGTTTGCAAAAAGACCATCTGGTGTATGCGTGTATATATGCAGTGAAAGTTCTCCGACTATCAAGAGAATATTGCTCAACCTTTACATAAACATGTTACATGGTGTGTTTGCATAGGACTCGAAAGTCACGCAAAATGGGTGGCAGAAAATACAAAAATAACTTTTGGTGCGCAGTTATCAAATAACTATTGATGTTGATTCGTGCTTTAGATAATACCTTTTGGTCGTACTTGAACATGTATATATAACAGCACTTATATATATATATAGCGCGTTGTTTCCGACATATACAGATGGATGCATTTTTTTTTAGTAGCAGAACGAGATAAAGATAATCGCTGTGATTACTGATTGTGTCAAGTTGACCTATATGAGATGACAGGTTTTGTTTCTATGAAAGGTAATATATATAGCGTGAAACTCTAAATGTCTACATGAAGCAACACGCAAATGTCTGAGACTTCGAGTGAAGCTATTCAACTCAACTGTAATAATAACATACATTATATCCTAATTAATAAGCAACTATTAAAAAAATAACAGTAACAGATAAAAAAAAATCGTTGAGACACTAAAATAATCGAAAACAAACGGCAATATATTTCAGATCCGTCCATGTCAAGTAGTTACGTTGGAAGATGGCTATCACAGTCTCCAACGCAACAATGTCTACGGAGAGAAAAATAGAAACAGGTTTTTGTAAAGCATTATGCGCAGTTTATATAAAAAAGCGTCCATTCTAAGCTCGGAACTTGACGGAATTCAATGTATGCTGTATCGATCTGGTATATTTTAACATCTGCTGAACTAATTACGAGTAATTCAATTTAGTCAGATGCGCGCGCCCCACACCATAGACAGTTTCCTCATTTTTGGGCGAAGGTATAGAACCCAGTGCACTTAGCAGCTATGTTGCATCTGCCCCAATCCCTAACATGAAGGATTTTGTATTCGACTCGACAGATTTCATACGGTAGCCTCAGAATTGAAGAATTTGTTTTTTTCCTAGAGGAGATAATATGGGTGTTAAAAAGTAGCTAAAATAATTTTTTAATAAGATTAAATGAAGGTTACTAAACTTAGATGCGAGGCGAACTTAGATTTACGTGTGAGCAAAGTGTTTTTGCAAGTCCTACGCAAAACAGATCAATGCTATTCATTTCTATGACAGAATGAATAACGGTAGACAATCTCAGCAGATCGTTTCGATATGAAAAATTTAAACCACGGATGCATATGCCATTGGTGGCATTCAAATGGCATTTTGTTGTAAATACAACATATTAACATATGGGATTGGTTTCCCAAGTTCGCTTATGCCGTTTTTACGTTGTGTAAGCTTTGTCTCACACTCGAAACCTTAAAAAGCACACTCGAAGCCTAAAAAAGTTTTCCTAGGTAGAATATATCGCAAAAGTTCCGAATCGAAACAAATTTTTCGTTTAAAAAAAAGGGTTTAGAATGGTAACGCAAGAACACGGAAGAACAAAATGGGCTCTAGATAAACTTCTGTTTAAAGCTATTCGAACTTACCGATTTGACTTGATATTCAATGTCAGCATTTCCAGTCCTGCGCGGTTCCCAAAGATTGACATATTGCCTCACATATTCTACGAAAGCGTCTATATCTTCAACCCGTTATCCGTTTCTCAGTGAAGTAGTACCTATGGAGTAATCTACGCATTTAATATCGTTATTATCGTATTAAATATAGTTTGAAGCTATATTTTATACTAGTTCTGAACCCAAGCCAGAAACAAGACGTCAGCGTTCAATGCGTTGCAGTGTTCACGAAAAACGCTATTACGAGAAACTCGTACTCACAGTCTGTCACGGAACGTTCCTTCCCGGCTGAGTTCTTCTCGTGTGACACGTAACTCTTGGTCTGAACGTGTCAGGTTTGTCATGAAATCAAATTCTAGTATACTATGCAATTACATATTGAGCAACTATTTAAATTTATTCAGGCAAATCAAAATTACCCCGTTTTTAATATGGACACGTAAAATTCTGTAACGTTCCCTAATTCTAAGGACAGGTGCCCGAGTTCCCTGTCCTGTTGAACTATGAGGTGCCTGTTTCACTACTGCATTATTTATTATATACAGATGCCCCTGCTGGTGGTAACAAAGCAACTTTTAAAGAAAAAAGCGTCTCGGAGCGCCGTTGGTTGATATGATAGCTAAGAGAGAAAAAAAAAGCCGTTTTAATGTTTATCTCATCACGGCTTATCCCAAAATTACTCGAGCATACTCGCAACCACTCGAAAGTGATAAACATTTCTTGTAGAGACCTGTGCAAAAAAACCTATGCAAAAGGACATTCACACAAAATGATGCTTGAAAAAGACACGGTAGATATTGCGAAGAGAGAAACCTTGCCTTTATATGAGCATTATTTTCAGAATAAATTTTGAAAAATTGAGGGTCGCAATAATGAAAACGCTGTCATTAGAGCAACTCAGGATTAATCTTTACCATGAGGCATACATCCTCAATTCGTATTTCAAACTTCCAGGACTATGTGCTTCTAGGTTCTTCACAGAACGAGAATTCTAGAGGGAGTGGCTATCAAGGAATAACTAATACAGTTAATTGTATAACATCCAAAATTTTCCAAATAAACGTACCTTTTATTTTAATTTTTCATCACCGCACGTCATAAGCGAAGTTGACTACTGAATTAGAATGATCAACCAACATTTGTGAAAATCTTCTTGTTGTGTCTCGTTTATTTATTACACTTAATACTCATATCATGTCCAGGCTAATAACCTGGCCTATTCGCCTCTATTTAGGTAATTCTTTGCACACGTTCGACGAAGTATGTCCACTAACGAACCTCATTTACTCTTTTCTTGGCCAACCCTTAGCACAGAGTGCTTCATAACTTCCGACACTGAAGTCTCTCAGCACAATAATATGGAAGTCGTGAAATATGCGCACTGGATCCCGTAGCCCCGTAATTTTCATATATGCCATCTCTATGTCTCTAATATAAACAAAAGGTCAGCTAAAGTAGACGTTGAAAGTCATTTGTTTTTCACCTAGAACCATTTTGTAATAATAATAACCATAATTTGTGGAGCCAGAATTCGGCATGAATTTTTTTCACTGCGTAATGAAATGACAGTTTATAAAAGCCACGAAACATTTTCAAATATGTTGTAGAAGCAAATAAACAATGGAAGTGTTAAAAAAAGAACATTAAAAATAGGCAGCCATCACTTATGTTCCAAAGAATAGGAATCAATTGATCCACTTTATCGAGATACCGTTCGAATTTGAAAGCATTAACTTCTAGATAATCAATTAGACTTGTGGGGAACATAAGGAGGTATTACAATTCAACTTCGATTATAGCTGGACTCTAACCGGGACTTTTTTGTTTAGTGCTTTTCAATGATTTATTATTGAATTAATTCTACGAACAGTGGATGGTCGGTACGCTAATGCACCTGGCAGGCCTCAATAGAGCTCTTTAGTGGACTTGCTTATGTGACAATCGAATATGTCAACTGATGATTATTGGAATTCTGAGTCAGTACTAGTTTCTTGTACTTATTATGATGCTAATATTAAATGAAAAAAAAATCAGCTCTTCAATATTGCGTCTTAAGACCGGAGAACTTGGTATGAAAGACTCAAATTCACGTACCATCTAGTTAATTCCCATCAAATTAACGTTAGTCGTTTGACCGAGATTTGGCTATGGAAGCTTGCATGACTTCATTGTGATAATGACAACTATAGTGCACTATATTTCTGTAAAGAAGGATCTCGAAATGGAGGCAGACTGACACTTCACCTCCGAGAAAGCTTTCAAATTCTTACTGGCCATTACCTCTGGTTTCTAATAAATATGTTTAAAGAGTAAGCTTAAATACTGCGAGTTCTTTGAACCGTTGAAGGCGTTTAAAAGCCATTTAAATTCTGATCGCTATTGCGATACAGTCTCCTTTTCAAAGATTTTTAAGAATTGCATTCTTTTAGTAATATCTAACCCAATTAGACAGCTTTTGCTTAATTTCTCCTACTCACAGTTTTTATTTAACTTACTTAGTAGTGCTTTATAACATTAGATGTTTACGGTGAATAAATATGGAGAGGTTGGTATAACGTCAGTGCAATTTCCAGACTCATAATCCTCAATGGTCTTTTTATTACTTTCTAATTGTTATCTTTATTATTCTATAGCGTTTCGAGCAACATAAAAGGCAACTTGTTTCATGAATTCGAGAGATTCGAACGTTCTACTTAATGCTATCTGTTGAAATGCATTGTATACTGCAAATCCTGAACTATTGGTTTCAATTGAGGAAGTATGGCTCCAGCTGCCAAATACCCTTTACTTCTCTCAGAAATGTATTGTCATAAAAGTTGTAAAAATTAGGTTGGTATGTAAGGGATGATGATTTTTGTTCAATTATTTTCTTTTGTTTGTTTATTCACCGCTATATACCTTTTAAAAACATCCTCTTTCTTCCGCTAGCCAATTGAAACGGTGCAGAAAAGGTACTTTTACCTGACTTCAAACTTCATAAACGAATGTTTTTGGCGAAAAACAGAGCACTTTTAGTACCTATTCTACTTGTTTCTTAGCCCGGGCCCAAAGCTGCCAAAGCAGCCCGGAATATTTGTGTCGTGTGCAATGTCAATTCCAAGCGTATTTACAGACGGTGTCTTCATGTCGATATGAAGCAGCGAAAGTAATGAGTAACACCGAAAGATACGTCTAAGCCAAAAATTACACATATTTTCAGTCCCAAAAAACTGGTTTATGTTTAGTGGGACTGAATGGATCTATAGATTGGGAATTCAGTGATATATCGGGAAATACTAGTGGCGAATTGAATGCGAAATGATACGTCTCAATCTAAACAGAGTGGTTGAATGAATCTTTTAATACCAGACCTATAGATTTCCGACGAAAAGTAATAGATGAATTGGTTGAAAAATGCAGTAATGTCAAAGAGAGTGACGACGAATGTATGATAAATTATTGACGCCACAATTTGTGTGAAACGCCACGTGTTCTATTAAATAGAACAAACTGCCTTTACTCATACACTGTCGTAACAGAAATAATCGTCGCTTTTTTTTGTTAGACGCAGTTAGGCATATAAGCAATTTAGTGGACGCGACGACTTTTGGGTGAAAAATTTAGGTTATCGCTAGCTAAGTAAGTATAGAAAGAGATTTCTGACTGAAGTTCAATGTATTAAACTGAGGAAGGGCTAAACCATAAACGGCGCCAAAACTCCACAAAGTCCAAAGTTAAAGTTGTGAAACTAAATTACGGCTTTGTGATTTTTACACTACGTACCGATTATCCACCCGCTCAAATCGGCGTCTAAAGGGTCAATACAAGCTCCTAGGATAAACCTCGCTATGTGGTAAAACATAAGATGGCCGAGAAGTGAGGCCGATGCTACATACACAGTCTGGCTTTCAGAGCGTATATTCTCATTACAAGCTGGGTGTTTACGTTACGATAAATAGTTTGCACTGCAATAAAAAACACGGACTCAGGAGTAAAAAAATTCGTATTTTAAAAATTGGTGCACTTGAAAAAATTTTTACGAGTCCAAGTGTGAATGAACTTTTATCTTTGTTGGAAACTTGTTTGCTTGCTTATTTTCACCGAGTTCGCAAGTTAGACTCACATTTCTATTAAATAAAATATAATGTTTTTTCGAGCTTGGATCACGCAACCATCTATTGCTGAACGCGTTTTTAACATCATTTTTTCATATGTAATTAGTCACAATTTTTGCTTACGCCTTTTAAGCTTGATATTAACCTTAACATAATAGGACCTACCTTTTTGAAAAAAAACCTTTATTTATTGTTCTCACTTATGCCTACATCAGTTTGTTTTAGATCAATTGCACGAGGCTTATACAGGAAATGACGCAACACAATAATTTAATAAGTTTTGTATTATCCAATAGACAGCCCACTGATTACACTTTGGATTCTAAATTCAGATTACGGGCGTTGTTTTCCAGTATATATATATATATCATCAGCACACCACGTTAATAGCTTTGAACGATTTTACAAAATGTCTGCTAAAGGCACGACGTATTCATTTTCTTCTGCATCTCCCTTTGAATTTTTATTCTATTACAGTTCGTTCGATTATCCTTTTCGACTCGATCCCATACTTCAGTATAGAATAAAAGAATAGGTCTTTTAATTTACATTTACGGAAATGAAATGTAAGAGAAACGTGAGTATTTCTAGAGGACCTTGAATTCTTCTTTTTAAATTTTTGAAGTAGATAAATATGTCATAAATTGGTTTTCTCATGTCTTCTTGTTTTGTATACACACTATAGGGTAAGGTCAGATAACTTCCTTCGATACAATTATAGCTATATTGCTTTTTAAATACCTACCAACTAAATGTACAATATGTCGTAAAATGCAAGCGTTACAAGTGTGAGGCGACTGTTCACGACTTCTTGTGTCATTGTTGGATATCATTCCATCGAAAAAATCTACGGGCTCTATTGATTAGGAGTATTTCACTTATACGCTATTTTTTTTTCATCGCTGGCCGAATCTGTATTCCTCGCGTGAAGACTACAAGGAAAATCATAAGAAATGTGGCGATTATTGCCTGTGTTAAATTAACGTACAAGAAGACAAAGGGTTCTTCTTCGATGTAGGGTCCAACCAAGATTGGGGACATCATACCACCAGCAGAAACACAAAGCATGACTAGTGACATATACGTGTGAGACAACAGAATATACTGCATTACGTGACTAAGAGAAGTAGCAAACATTGGCGACACCCCAGCGCCCATTAGTCCAGTGGAGATCCACACAATAATTGGTGACCATTTTCCCGCGATTATAAGCGCTGTTGCTCCCAACAGGCAGATAGAATGGCAAACAATCAACATACTGCTCGGACGCATGCAAAGAGACGCAAATGTCGAAACTACCCTACTCAAAGTAAAAAAAAGCCAGAAAACAGCAGAAACGTAGGCACTGTTGGACTTGCTGAAATCCAAGCGCTCATTTTCAACCACGTATACAGCCAGCATGGAAACGTAGGTTTGTTCAAGCGAAACAATGAAAAAGACGTACGCGCTAAATGCCGCTACAATAATGAGCTCCGATCTACGTGAGCACGTTGAATCAGAACTGGTCGAGTTTCCAGGCGAAATGTTGCTTCTACTAAATGCATATGAGATTATCATGAATGCAGTATTGACAAATATTAGGCTTCCGAGTAACAAGTATGGAATGTACACGGTTGTGTCTGCAGTACTGGGCAGAATTTTCAGAGAATTACCTATAGATCCATTGACGATGGTCTCGATGACGGTGTGCCTGAAATAATAAAGGAGATCAACAGGATACATTAAAAAAACATTTATTGATATTCTCTTTGTCAAGAAAAACACAAAAATGCTCTACTAAATATGTGATTCAATCCGAGGCCCATTGATATTTATCCATTGTCCAAATAACAGATTCCATATTGTTTGCTTTGTTGATGACCCCATTCGTATAAAATAAATTCGCAAATCGTCCCCTAACACACGCTTCGCTTCTCCGTAAACATTTCGAAAGCAAAACGTATCTTAGAACTTTGGAATGCTCCATCAACTTATTAAGCAACTTCATTAATCCTAACAGGACAGCCTTCTAATTACGATTGTTTACGTTTTATTTTATTTGTCATATTAATTTAACGTTTGGACAAATAGTAGATTAGGCTAGTTATTTCCTGGAAGTACGCTGCAAATACTATGCTTGCTTCAGGGCAAAAATTTCCCTCAACGCATGCCTCTGTTCCTTTATAGATCCCTTCTTGAACGAGTAATTACTACATTGTGGTATATGGTAGGACATTTTTTTTAACAGGGTATGAGAGATTCAGGGTAATGCCATTCGAACCGTCTTTTAGCTATCAATGTCCGACCGTAGATTAAGCCTTTTTAATAAGCATGACATTTTTATTATTTCACAGTTATGTATGCTCTAAATCTGCTGTATGGTGTAGACACCAACCTGCGCGCCCGTCACAAGCTAAACTACATCTGATCCATCGCTGGCAACCTTCTAAATATCCCCATAAAGATAACCATAGGACGCTGTTAGCTCAATCGGCTGAGTGCAAGAACTACGCAGTAAGTTCCCTGGACTATCAGTACAGATATATTCGGAACTTCTTTTTACCATATATCCGTTGCACTAAAACATATTTGCTCAGAGTTATTGAAATCCATTAAGCATTTTGTGCAGCAAATTGGTGCCGAGGGTGTCCTCTTGTTGTTATATATTAGTTATATTTCATAAGACTGTCATGTGATTGTTACTGGATTTCTATCTGTCTAAACTTAATGTTTAAATAAATCATATTTAATCTTGGGTATTAAATACAATGCGCTGTCATATGAACCATGCCTCGTTCGAATAATATCTTGCCATTAACATCTAGAAGCAAATCGATTAGCTCTAGCTTACATACGTTGCTATATTATATACAGAATTTGCTAAGTTGTCATCTCCACATTAGGCCACAGTTAGAAAAAACAAAAGCTTCTTAGCGAAAGTTTTTTTTCGTTGCTTTCAAAAAATAGCCTCTCCGTCAGGCGCGGAAAAATCTTATACGGAAGTATTTCTAGAGAGCTCTTTGTTTGGAACTCGGACTTTACTAAAATGTCGGCTTATTTTCCCACCAGTCTCTTTCTTATTTAACAAGTTTTTTTTATCATTACAAATTTTTTTAGTGATCGAACCTAAGAACCTTCTCCTAAATGGCCAAAAACTCACCCACCTTGAATGTACCTTACTGAGGAAAGGCTCGGCTACAAGTGGTGCCACAACACCGCCCAGTCCAAAACAGAAGTTGAAAAACTGAAATACAGTTGCGCTTTTTTCTTGCCAAATTCCTATGATCCAGCCATTGGAACCGACTTCTATAAGGCCAAAAGTACCCCCAAGAAAGAACATTGCTATGTGACAAAATGTCAATTGGCCGAGAAGCGGGTTAAGCGCGACGCATAAACTAGCTACCAGTAAAGACATTATCATCACAACCTGGATGTTTACGTATCGAAGTATGACGCCAGCTGAAACAAGGAACAAGAAAAGATGAGCTTAAGGAAAAGAAGAGGCTTATTAGATGAAAAGTGAGGGATCCGCTAAAAATCAATTTAAAACTTTTTGCTAGTAAAGTCTATTAAAACTTTAGCTAACTAGTTGTAACTCCTAAAATGTTCTACAGATACGTTTTACCATGCCGGCCTTTTGACCCAGGATGTCGTGTAACGTAGACTGATCATGTTAGCCACCAAAGCCTGTATCTCCAAAAAAAACCCTGCTTACCAAAAATACAGAAAATAATTGATCCAATTCCACGGGTCGTGATGGTGTATGCCATGGCTCTGGGTGACGTAAGATAGATTTTAGAAAGGTCGAGTAACGTTGCGCCTGTCAGCCCGAAGATACAACCCTAAAATATAAATTAGACACACAAGTACAATATTAATTTTTTTTCTGTGAATGAACTCTTACATAAAATAGTTTTTGTTGTTTCAGAGGTATATTTATTCTTAAAATGACTTTAAATAAATAAATTAAAAAAATGAAAGATAAAAAAATAAACAAAAAACTTCTGTTCGGAAAGCTCGGAAATAAAAACTCAAAAGCTTGTTGAGAGTAGTTAAGCAGTTGTACATTTTTACAAATATATATTCAAAGATATGCGACAAAGAAATAACTTACTACCTTAGTAGAGATACAGACCTACTGAAGCAGAACTAAATAAAAAAACAGTTATATTGGGAAGACTACCTACGTAACAATACTAAGCAGCAATATATTTTTGACCCGCTTAAGGGCAGGGCTGGAAAAGGCTTCAGACGTTCCAGTTCACTCTTATAATTGAACCTATTGTTAATCTAATGATATATAACTTTGACGTGCCACTTGTAAAAAATAGTTTGGAATTATATAAACAAGGTAAATCCACTGTCTATAAGCTTGCGCTGTAGGGTTGGCATTGAGCGCTTGCGTAAATCCAAAAGCCTTTTCTTGAAGACGTGTGAAGGCAAATATACATACATAATGATTTAGTTAAGGGAGAGGGTCTTCTTAAACTATGTACAAACAAAAGATCGCATGCCGAAAAGGTTATAGATCCGCTTGCCACCTACCCGCAGAGTTCAAATAATATTTATATATGTTATTAAGTAAAGAAGCCTTATTTAAAGTAGGGTTTGCCTACATAATAAATTTATCTTAGTTATAAGAAAAGCTTTTAGCGCGAACAGTATCGTGTAAAAAATGTTCTTGTGCATGCCTTGACACCTATCACAAGTTTTTTTTTACATCTTGGTATTTCGGCTCCGAAACGTGTAGGTATTGATCACGCTAAAAATTATAACGTAAGTCATCAGAGATATCTGCCCTATGATATTAACTTGTATGCAATCAGACTTTGTATGATAGGTGTTTGGAATTATTCTTCGGTTTGTCCCATTTTGCGAATTGGTGGATCATGCTCGAGTCACGTATGTTTGCATAAGCGAAGTAGAGTTTATTTCTGCATTGTATTACACATTGGTGCTTATGAAGCTATTTTAGAAAAGTGTTTAGTCACGCGGCACCAGTGTCGACCATATTAATTGCCTGTCGTCGATAGTTATAATATCAACAGTATGAACTGCGCAACGAATGTAGCTTGTTCATTGCAGTTGGGGAGATCGTCTGTTCGGATGACTCCGTTGAGTCCTGTTGACATTTGGGTTAATGGGTTTGAATAAAAAAAAGGCAGACCACATGAATAGGATCGGCGGGATACACAGTGAAATATCTTGTACGAATATTAGAAAGCAGTTTTTAGATGATTAGTAAAGAAGTAAAAATTGGATAGAATACAGGTTGGTGTTGGAATAAAAAGAGGCGAAAAGAATACTATCATAAGCCAGTAAGGGAGAGGAAGGGGTGCGGGGTAATAGACACAGAGGGAAAGAAAAAGCTCATTTGCCTCTTTATTGTGTTGACTTCATCGGCTTCGTGGTATCATTGGAGTGGAGAGGGTCTTGATGGAGACAACTTGACACAAACGGCGGGGATGCACCCTCCGGAATGAGCGACGTTGAGTAAGCTATATGTAGTGCGAAGAAGGTTGTTCAGCACGCGTTCGGTTACAGTCGATTCGTATCTGTCGTAGGACTTTTTTTTCGATGGTCTCCTTGTTCAAGCGAAATTCTTGAAAGGTTACGTCCGCCATTAACCGGTGACGAGCCGTTCCTATATTTAACCGCCAGTTGTTTGTTAATATATTCAGAGTGCCTGTCCATAGGCAGCTTTGGAAATTACAAACATGCATTTGAAAACTGCCTTAACATTACTGTATATGGGTGACATGGATTTCAAGATAAAGGTGTATGCTCTATTATTTCGTGGGGTTGTTGGAGCAAATTCAATTGCCGACGTATCAATGTGCAGTGTTTATTTCAAAATAAAAAAAATACTTTGTAATCTTAGTTTAATTGGGTTTTCTTTCGCCTACAATCATTCCGAATATCTTTACCTTTAATACTTCAAATGCGTGCCATGACAGCCGCTGCACGCACTGCTTGCTGTGCCACAAAGGCGCACGCTTTATGATCATCCTGGTGACTGGCTGCCTTGAACGTCGCTCGCGTCCCTGTTGCGGACCGACTAAGTCATACACATTTACGTTTTATATATAAAACGTTTGAAATATATATATTTTTCAAACAAAGCTAAAGCCGATATAAGGTACACCACTAAACAAATAAAGCACGTATTGATGGTGCTGCTTTACTAAACCGTCAACCAATCCTTTGTTATACAAAGCGTGACATACTGTTAAGTACATGCCAATACTGGATAACTGATTTTCTTTGAGGAAGTTCCTTTAAGCGTATGAGTCTTGACCAATACGGTCGCACTAGAAGAGAGCTAATACGGTTCGAATGGGTGATTCCGAATAATAAAGTCTTAGTGAGCATTATTGTGGTGAAATAAATTATCTCCTATAAAAAGATAGCTTCTGTTTGTCCGTTAACGCTATTCGGTACACCTGCTTTTAGTTATTTGGGTTAATCTCAAAAAAGTCGGCACATTAGTCGATTTTTACCAATCATAACTCTATATATACGAACAGGAAAATACATCTACTTTACTTATGAAAACAATTAATGATTATGATTCGTAGTGTTAAACACCTAACGCTTTCCAGCCTGGTTGTAGTAATTACCAAGTATGATCTGTTTAGATGTTCTTAAGCAATTGCTGTTGTAGCAAATTGTGACTTAATGATTGATAATATTAACAAGAACACCAATTATAAAAACAATAGGAACATGCAGTGGAGAAAATCAAATGATTATTTTCTGAATTTATGAGTCTTAAGGTATTTTTATATTACGGGATGAGGTTGTTGTTCAATTTACGGGACTTTGCTTGTGTAAATGATGGAAGCGCAATAAATAATAAGATCTTTTTAATTCATCAGCACTTGAGTGGTTCATAGTTTTTGTAACGGTAAAAAGCTGAAAAACCTTTTATTCATGCGAGCCCTCGCTTTTTCCAAAATTTGGAATCTTGTTAACTGTGATATGATTAAAAGAAAACTTCCACTAATACGAAATACCCACAACAAATCTCCGTCCATATAAGTATATAAAATTTTACTATTATTGTGATTCGTCTATCTAAACATTTAGTAAAGCAATAAAACTAATAGACGGACCAATCCATTACTTTTCGTATAAGTCCAGTATTAACTAAATTAAGCAAATATTTTCTCTTGAATATCTACATTCTTTTAGCTTAGCAGAGACGGTCGGTTATTCTACCTTTATTTTTATGAAGTCACTAATTATTGAAGACAAAAGAAATAATCTTTTTCACTTGGGATTCCTTCTACGCACTTCACAGACTAATTTCAACGTGTTCTTTAATAGTCGCATTGTCCCTTACAGTATTACCTCATACTTTTGATTTGTCTGCCAAAAATCAAAAGAAATAATATTGGAGAGTAAGCGACAGAAACAATCAACGGTTTATCTGTACAAACAAGTATAGAGAAGAGACGTTCTATAACCCGAGTAACCATTGGTTAGCATCACCCCATTTTTTTAACGTAAATGACACTCAGATGACAGAATTGCTATATCTCTTTTTATTATTTAATGGATGTGATTAAAAAAAGTGTTAGCATGTGTGCGTATTAAGCACCACCATGCTAGCCAATACGCGCGAATTAAATTCCAATTAAAAAACACTAAGATCTCAGTCGTAAGCTCAAAGTTATTCCGTTTTCTAATTGGTGAAACGGTAACATACTTGCCTGCCGTACTGACTGCTTGAGTACGAGTCGCGGGCAGCCAAAAATATTTGAGGGTGGAACGTTTACCAAGACGACTGATTGTCTTATATATCCCACTGATGGTGCAATAGTAGCGTGTTTGCCTATTGGATTTAAAAAATCTTCAAGAAGCTCAGGTTGCAATGGTAGCGTGTTTGCCTATTAGATTTAAAAAAATCTTCAAGAGGCTCAAGTTCCAAACCAGACGCACTATTGTGAGTTGACTATCGACAGCAATACTTATTGTGGTACCAAACGTAAGACTCGAAGCATTTGTTGCCTAATTTGATTTATCTAATTATTACGGTAGATGTCAAAGTGACTTCTTGTGCAGCCAGAATAAAAACTAGTAATCCAAAATAAGTGATCTTAATCACCTACAAATCAATTTTCCTAAACAGTTTGGTAAAATGGTTGCATGAACGCATTTGCTTAGAGAAACCGATACTTACCAGGCTAAAAATAGCGATATGTAGATTGATGGTTTGGAACCATCGTACGAGACCAGCACTTACTCGAACTCCAAACATTTCGTACCGTTCTTTGTATATTCAATTGGAATACGTACTAGGTAGCATCTATAGTATTGTAACAAGGCTAAATGGTAATAAGCATAGACATACGAAGGCCAATATCTGCTTTTTGAAAAAAAAAGTAAAAAGGTTATAATGTAACGAAACGATAATCTCGTCCGTTTTAATCTGAGTCGAGCCGGGCACTGACGCTCTTAAAGCACGGAGACGTGAGGAAGTGTCAACGTACACCGCTTCCCTTGCCTCGTCAGCTGACTGTGCTAGCTGTAAATTTAGCGCCTCGCCAGTTAACATCGTGCGAGAAGATAAAGCTGGTCTGCCGTGTTTGAGCACTAGCCATGATTGTGACAAAAGCACTGGATGCACGATTGCCAATTGTAAATTAATTTGCAAGTCCTTTTGGATCATACATACTTGAGAAAATCATTTTTATAGAGGCACTGTAAATGAGCATGTATTTTATAATAGGCCGACTGATTGCCAAGCTATATGAAGTAGTACTAGTAGGACATCGTGAACGTAGTTATAATTAGCACCCAAACATATTTGCAAAATAGGAAAGCTGCCACGTGTCGTTGTCAATTCAGTAAATTGCTTATAGTCACCAGTATGCCATGCCACGGTAGACGGGCTTTTTTTTTTAAAGAAGTTCGGTTTGCTCGGATTTATTTTTAGGGTATATGTACTGGCGAAAGCTAATGCTTCAGGAATTACCTCATGGGTGGTAAACAACGCTTGTTCCATCGCAAACAAGGGCGAACCCTTGGCCATGCATAAATATCTCGTCACTAATACCTCTGATTAAAGCCTTCCATTTGCTACGGTAGCGTTGAACATTGCGGGACAAATACAGTAATTTAATTTTTCTATTACCCAAAATTCGAAGCAGTTGCTTTTTTCAAAGGTTGAAGCGTCCTAATACCGATGCCATGCAATGAACAGTTGTGCCTATTGAGTAATGGAGGTTTAATTAAAGAATTTTATTTTAAAGGAAAGATATGTATAATACTTATATTGTGTTTACCAGTAGAATGTGCTTGATATGCACGCTAGTGAGAGCCCTAATTATTATTATTATTGACTAATGATTATTATTACTACCCAAATTACTGAAAACATCACTGAGCTCCGTTCTGGGCCTATTGTATTCCGCAAGTAGCTTCCTGAAGGCTTCACATGTACGAAAACAGCGTCACAAATTTCTTTTCTCTTTCATGCAATGTTCCTGCAATGTTCCACCCAGATTCCGTAGATCTTCCGTTTACTAGCCACAGACATAAGTCCAAGTGGATTTAATTTGTTTTTAAATATGCCCACCGATGTAGGAAACTACGTATCTTAGAAGAATTCTCCTTATGCAAACATTGCAATATTTATCGTGGTATTACATTCAGCTTAAGCCCTATAGGTTTGCCTACAGCGCACATATTCGATTGGTACAGAGAAAACAAATTTTATTCAAACAATAAAAAAAATGTCAGAAAGGGAAAGGGTGGAAAACAATATAGCGATGGCAAGGACTAAGCATGCTGTCGGGTCTCAACAGTAGGTGGTAGCCAGTAACTATTATATTCTCCACGGGAATTTCGATGACCAAAACTCAAAATGTGAGATTGAGATAGAAAACAAAATGAGATTTGGTTTACTACGTATAGTCACATCACTTTATGGTGTGTAAAAAGGAACGGGTTACGTGTCAATTAATCTAGACTTTCAAGGTAAATAAATTGTAGGCAGCGTGGTATTTTGAATCCAGTGAAATCAAAAGGTGACGCAGGAAAAATTACCCTATGATGTATAAAGACGTTATGTAATATATGAAAAATATATATTAAAATATGGACAGGCGCGCATCTATATGGGTGCCGTGGGAGGTGTCTGATAATAATCTGTAGATATTATCATATTTAATTGTAGATAATTTTAGGATAAAACTGTTTTACTAATCATGATGTGCGTGGTATTTTTACTTTAGATATAATTTATCGTTCTTCCCCTTATCAGTACCCTTTGTTTGAAATCAGCTGAGCTTTCTCAATGCAAACAACACGTACTGATAATTCAACCATAAAAACGTTTGTCCAAAAGCTAATATACGCCTCGAGTTTTGTGGAACAGCGCAATTTTGAATGGGACTTATCGCCGGTTATACGACTGCCTCTTATGGATCATAGTAAAAACATAAAGAAAATCGTACAAAAGTTGTAAGTTTAAAACTTTCTTTACGGAATACATGCTTTTGCAAAACTATGCAAATGATGTCCGTTGTATTATTGTATAAAGTAGTTTGTATGAAACGTTGTTTCATTAAATGGTGACGAACATTTAATCATAAAGATTGTAACGAAAAACAGTCCAAAAAGGTATAATCAGAGAATCTACGCTCACGGGTACAGCCGAATGATTAATGATTGAAAGAGTACTCTTTTAGTAATGCCGTAAAAGTTTTCCCTTGCATATACTTGGATTTTGCGTGACTCATTTCATTGTTGATTTCATCCTAAACATAAGTGAAGTCTTACGGACGAGGCTTAAACACAAGCCTCGCGCAGAAAGACAGGTTTGTCCAATTTTCACTCAATTTAAAAATGGATCTGCGAAAAGGTAGAATGATCTTGGACGATCAGTATTTATTGAACTGATGCGAATAAAATTTTGGTATAGCTATTCAGTACGTACCTTGTAATGATAAAAAAAAACTCTGAATCTGAAGATAGAAATGTTAATGGTTTCTTGGCGATGATGTATCACAA